TAAGTGGGCGCGCCGCCGTGGAGCCGTGGTGCGTTGGAAGGGTGTGACGACGCATTGATCAGGCTCGCGATACTACAAGCGTTGGATGGCGCCTGCGTAAATCTGTGTCCCGTCCTTCCCCCCCCCCCCCCCCCATTTGCGTGCATTGTATGTAATGGGTTCTTGTTGTCATTACTGTAAGCCATTAGTGGAAAATAAATATTAATGGAAGATTTATGAATTGAATAGCGAGAACCACCCCCCCCTTCCCCACCAAATTGTCAAAATGAATTTGACCACTGTGGTGGGTGAATCATAGCCTCCTCTAGCAATATCCCGAATACGATGTCAAACTGCATCCGCTGATGGTGTCACCCTATAAAAGACCGCTGATAGAAGGCAAGAGGAAACCTGCTTCTTTCTCCTTTCCTGGTCATGACTCAAGAACTCCAGCACGGGGTGGGGTGTTGTGCGATGCGGAAGGGAGGGAGGGGGGCCTGACCAACCGACCGGTCGGCATCTGATCGGATGAAATGGGATGGGCAGGGAGCTTGAGCCAGGGAGCTGCCCTTGGGCAGACAAACTCAAGAGCAAGGCAACACAATACTTAATGCTGCTGCTGCGGCCCCGTTACACGGGTAGAGGAGTTGAGGCCGTGTGGCTGTGTTGCCCTGATTTGAGAGAAAGGCGCACGCGTGCGTGCGTATGGGAGTCATCATCGTGGGGAGTGGTAGCGGTTTGCGCTACGCTGCGCTACGAACCCGGCGGCTCGAGTTCAATTCCTGCTCACGGCCAACGCCCGTGACGATTATCTGAACCGGTCCTGGGTCGACTCGCCCTCGTATGAGTACCTGGTGAGGTGTGTAAAATCGTCGTCACTGGGGAGACAAAGGCGTTGGGCATGGTCATGGCCACCCACCCCCTACGGTCTGTTACAGGTTCTCCGGGAATCTTTGTCAATGTGCGTTTGGTTTCAGTGGAAGTGCGTGTTGTGATAGATGTGCACCGACAAATGAGCGCGGCGCTCACGGGTTCTTTCATGTTCTAGTTTTCCGCACAAATTATGACGTTCCGGCCTTTTACACCGCAGTCGCCCCGTGCTGTTTGACAGCACGTGCAGTATCTGGTTATTATTGTCCTGACGGCCGTGCTGGCTGGCGCACAGCTGTGGCACCGAACAAGCACGGCGAATTACTCCACCCGCCGTTGTAAATTAAGTCATTGCGCGCAACTGCGTGCGTTATGTCAATTCGTGACCATTTTAAATGTTGTTGCGTCGGGGCGAAACGACCAAATCGCACGCCATGTGCCCCCTGATCTCGTCACACCTTGAAAGCTAAGCAGGATTAAGCCTGGACGGTGCCTGCATGGGAGACCACCGCCATGCACAAGCAGGTAGCCATAGTGCTTGCGGGGCTGACGTGGTGATCAGTAGGGGGCAGAGCAGAAACATTTCATTGTCGATCTGTGCAGTACTTCTATGCTTCCTCACGGCTGTGCTCCCCGCCCCGCGATCACCAACCCGCGCTGCCCAGCGTGGTGAACTATGGTCAAACAACCCCCCCCCCCCGATACGTCCCACGCAGGCATGGGGTAGAAGGCCCCTCTCTGTCGAGATTATTCAGAAAAAATATTTTTGAAACGCTCGCTCTGTGTAACATTTTGCTACTGCTGCGGGGACGGCGGTCGCCGTCGGAATTTGAACTCGCACGGCAAGGCACTGGATGGAGGGAATCAACGCGGGTACGTGTCACCGGGTGTCCACGTAGCCGCGACGACGATCGTCCCCGTGCAGTCATGCCCGGCGGTCACGGGGGGGCCGAGAGGGGTCACGGGGGGGCCGAGAGGGCTCGCGGCGTGTAAACATGCGCCTTGATGAGGCCGACTCGCAGCGATGGGCTCACTCAACTTTGCGTAGGCAAATATCACCCGTCCATCCCATTTGTCCGGCCGTCCGTCTGTCCGCTCCCCCACCCCTTAACCAGCACAACTCATATGAGTACCTGGTGAGGTGTGTAAAATTCGATTCGTAAGTCCGTTAAAATGACTATATCTTTATCGTTAAAATACCACCATATTACTCCTGTTGTTGAGGTCATCGTTGCCGATGTTGCCATCGTCGCACCCGCTCACCCCCCACACACCACGTTCTCTGCTGCAGCTTTTAATACGCTCCGGTGTGGCGACGTTCGGTCCCGTCTTTTATCGCGAAGTGTCATGCACGTGCCTTTGTTTTTTGCAAGCATGGACAACGTGGATCTCGGCAGAAATTGAAATAATGTTTAAACGAGCAAAGGTCCGTTTCCTTGCCAAGATATGAAATGTAATGGGGTTTTGGTTCGTCCATATATCGACTTTCAGGTCAAATGTTTTTTATCGTAACATTTGTTTAATGCAGGAAAATCCCAGACCGATTTCTGATTTCTCTGTGTCTCATCAGCAGGGTGGTGTGGTCACCATTAAATAAAGGCAGTCTATTGTTTATAGACGAGAATCCTCTGTGAACATTAATTTGAGATGGTTACTTATTCCGAAAGATTATCAGCGGATCTATGTGCTGGCAGTAATGCGCAAATGGCCTCTTGAGAATTGCGTCACGGGGTTCTTTAATATCCACCGGTAGATAAATATGCCCATGAGTTAGCTTTCACATCGATGACCATCAACATCATCATCATCAAATCTTTCTTTGAAACTAAGTGAGAGACCCCCCCCCCCCATCGAGACTAAACATTTCATGTTCACGGGAGACATGGGTCGTGAAACAATACGTAGCGCGTCATGAAAGATCAAAGACGGCAGTAACAAAGCAGAAATATGAGCCAAAACAGGGGGGAGAAAAAACCTAAAAAAATACGCAGCATCAAGCAAGACAAAACAATTTCAGCGGGATTAAAGTTTAAAAATAAAACTTGTCATTTCAAACAAAATTCAAATACAATTGTTTGGGAGGTAATGTTTAAAGAAAAGATCCCACTCGCATTCAATATTGTCCAAGCATTGATTTCAAAGGCTCATTAAAAACTGGGAGCATAATGATGCATTGATTGGTCAATTAAAATAGATGTATTTTTTACAATCGTGAAAAACATGCGTCGAGTCACGCGTGTGAAAATGGATTATTTTCGATTCGTAAGCCTTGCATGTAACAAGCTCACGTGACCCCCCCCCCCCATGATCCGTGCCGCTTGTGGTCCGTAAATTCACCACAATTAATACAAATATAATCGGGTCTACTTGAATTTAATTGCGATCCGCTCTCGAGCAGGAGAAATCGTTGCAAGATTCGGAAACCGACAAGGAGGAGAGTGCTTTTTTAAATGTATAATTATAATTTGTAGCTCTTTATCAGTCCACTGCTGGATGAAAGCCTTGCCTCCTTCGTGTCAATCATGGGATTCTTTGAACTATACCTCACCATGCTGGTCTCCGCAGCTTAGTGAAGGCATGGGGAAGCACAGAATGTTTCAGTCCTTAGCACCATGCCCAGCGGCCTTTGTATCTCCAGTACTGATGTGTTTTCATACCGTACCAGATGCTCATATAAGGCTGAGATAACTTAGGTGAATGTCCAGGTTATCAAACCCAGTGACCTGTCAAACTCAGGTCACCGGGTTTCGTAGCGTTTTGCGCTCACCGCTGTGCCACGCTGCAAACCCTCCGCTGCTGTGCCACACTATGAACCCACCGCTGTGTGCCACGTGACAAATCTTCCGCTGTGCCACGCTATATGCTCCCCGCTGTGCCACTGAATCCACCGTTCTGCCACGCTACGAACCCACCGCTGTGTGCCACACTACAAATCTTCCACTGTGCCACGCTACATGCTCCCCGCTGTGCCACTCTGTGAACCCACCGCTCTGCCACGCCACGCCACGAACCCGCCGCTGTTCTAACAGCGCCCTTCATATGAACGCAATCGCATCGCGGTATCGTTCCGTGTGCATAAAGCATTTGGTGGACGATCAACTCCCCCCCACCCAGCCCGCTCCTCTATGATGGCATGATGACAGACTCGGGCAGTTGAGGGGGTGGCGGGGGGGCTCGCGCGGCTCCACGTGGCTGTGGCTCCGTTGCTTGTGCCGACAGACAGGCGGACCAGCTGCGCGCTTGTCCGTGTCTCTCCTCCCGGCGTCTAATTGAGCTGGCGTCAGCCGCCGCCTGCGAACAGGGGGCCTCGCTTCCGCGGCTGCCATAGACTGGAAGCCGTCCTCGCATGTGCGTGGGTGTGTTTTTTTTCGAGCTTTGCAAGCTCGTTTTCCATTTGCTGTCAAAATTGCGCCTCCTGGCACACTGCCCCTTCTGTTTTGGCAGCATTCCCAGTTCTTGCTGGTGCGTGATTGCGTCCTGTCTGCCTGCCTGCTTGTGCGTGTACACAAGTGTGTTGTTTACAAACTGTGGGGTGTTTGAGAGATGTACGGCCGCACGTGTTGTTATTTTAATAAATAAACGCCCAATTGTCCGTGCATCTTCACCGCAGAATGGGCTTGACCTATATGAGCGAAACACGAGGTGCCGTGTTTATTTGACCGGCGTGTTTTTTTTCATCTTTTGTCTGGCCAAAAGGACAGCCCAAACGTCAAGTGAAATGTGTACGTAATCTAAAACTTGAGAAGCTTTGCCCGGGGAAGATTATCTTGTCCTCCTGCCCCGTAGCTAACCGCGCGACATATCCGTCGTTCACACCTGACCGGCATTTCTCCGCGATGGAGACGCTAACGGTTGAAGTGGCTGCATGTTGGGGGGGGTGATGCCACTTCCTGTGAATGTCACGACGTGACCTTGAGCGGGAGGGGGGAGACGGGGGGGGGGGGCTACTGTTGCCTGTAGCCCTGACCGCGCCTGCCAAGTCCCAGCAGTTTAATGCCGGTTGGTTAATCTGTCTAGCAGCCACACGCGCGCAAAAAAATAAAATCTACTCCAGGTGGCAGATAAAAAGAAAATGCTGTCCCCTCCGCGCCCTTGATAGCGGGAACGTTTGAGATGAGCAGCTGCTTTTTTTTGTCTCCTCGCGTTCGCAGAGTGAGGAGGTCGGGCAAAGAAGCGTTTCCGAGGCAACAGAGCGGCGGACATTTTCGTCGTCGCCCGCACACCCACGGAGGCGACCGGAAGATGGGGCGGAAAAAGATACAGATCGCCCGGATAACGGACGAGCGCAACCGACAGGTGAGGGCAATCTACCGCGGGGGTGCCGCCACTGCCGCTCGTTTGGGGGGGGGGGGGGTGGTGGTTGCCGCGGTCGACCGAGTAATTTGCCGCGGCGAGCCCGGTCCTGCAACCGGGCCGCCGACTCGCGCTCGGCCCAACTTAGAGCTCAACTTAAATCGGCTGCCGCGTGATTTAAGCCGGGCTGAGTGTGCGGTGGCGCAAATCCAGGGATTGGTTTATGGGGAAATTGCCCGACTGTCCAGTGTGGAGAATTTAACCCTTCAACTGCCCGTTTGGTAACGCTTCCCTCGCACGGGTAGTGATCGTGGTGGTGGTGGTGGTGATCGTGGTGGTGGTGGTGATCGTGGTGGTGGTGGTGGTGGTGATCGTGGTGGTGGTGGTGGTGGTGGTGGTGGTGGTGATCGTGGTGGTGGTGGTGATCGTGGTGGTGGTGGTGATCGTGGTGGTGGTGGTGATCGTGGTGGTGGTGGTGATCGTGGTGGTGGTGGTGATCGTGGTGTGATCGTGGTGGTGGTGGTGGTGGTGGTGATCGTGGTGGTGGTGGTGATCGTGGTGGTGGTGGTGGTGATCGTGGTGGTGGTGGTGGTGGTGGTGGTGATCGTGGTGGTGGTGGTGGTGGTGATCGTGGTGATCGTGGTGGTGGTGGTGGTGGTCGTGGTGATCGTGGTGATCGTGGTGGTGATCGTGGTGATCGTGGTGGTGGTGGTGGTGGTGATCGTGGTGATCGTGGTGGTGGTGGTGGTGGTGGTGGTGGTGATCGTGGTGGTGGTGGTGGTGGTGGTGATCGTGGTGGTGGTGGTGGTGGTGATCGTGGTGGTGGTGGTGATAGTGGTGGTGGTGTCAGGACTAGGTCTTGCCCACATCGATTCTGCGATGGGAACTCCATGGGCATGGCCATCCGTGGGGTCAAGGTAATGGTGCAGACCTGCAATTGCTTTTTCACACCACTGCTACCAGACGGGGCCCTCTGCCCGTCTGGCGGCAGAATTGCCATAATGGGAGATGGAATCGAACCACCACCACCACCACCACGCAACAGTTTCCACCTCCCCACCCCCCCTCCCTGCAATCTGCGGGGCTTGTGGGAACTGCTTGGCCACTCTCGTGGCGAGATGGTAACTCCCTCGATTCCAACCCTGATTCTTGTATATTTAGACTTTGCGTGTTCTCCCCGTGGTCGCGTGGATTTTTCTCCGGGTCCTCCGTTTTTTTTCCCCATTCACATTTAGAATTGACGTGCGTTTTGAGAATTTGGCTGGTATAAATTTCCACGTCGTAATAAGCCACTTGGCCGAGCTATCATTTTTTGGCCAGCTCGCTTCTGAAAAAAGAGCTAGAAATCTCCCCGCGGGGCCTTACCTCGGTGGAAAAACATCAGCGGTAGGGCAAATCCAATGGACAGTGATGATCGCGCCACGGCCGCGTTGAAAACCCGCGTGACAAAGCCCATCGCCCTGGACACGGGCGGATGTTCCCTCATCACCTGTTTGCGTTTCCCCGCGGGGTCGTGACGCTCGGGAATAATTTGCGGCGACGCTTTAATGAAGCTCGCGTCCTGCCAGCGTCACACGGGGGCCTCTCAGGCTCTAGTGGCTCAGTGTCCCCCCCCCCCCGCCCGCCCGAGCGAAGAGTGGAAGAGTGGCCCCCCCCCATCCCTCTTTGTGCCTCTCCGCGCTCGAGCACCAGAATTTACACGGCAAGTTGGAGGGCACGCGTTGCGCAGATCACAGTCGTCGGGGTCCATTAGTTTATTAATTCTTTGAAAACCGCGACCTTTCTGATTAAAAGAAGACGTGCGCGCGCGCGGATGTGCGCATCTCGTTTTGTTTTGGTGATCGTTAAGTGGCTCGTTGGCCGATTGCATGATTGCACTCATCTTTGGCGGGCTCGCCGCGCGTGCGTTCACGTCCCTTTGAACCCCTTTATCATTTTTTTAATTGGCGCGCTGCTCTTCGATGTTTCTGTGATTCACAGGGGTTTTTTTTTTCAAAATCGCATCCATAGGAACAACAGACAGTTTAATGCTTATTACCCAAAATCGGCCATTCTAACTGTTTCCGCTCAGGACACCGCTTACGCCGTGCGCCACCCTGCACCCCCTTGAGAGCAGCATTTTGATGGCGAGCCCCCGCTGCGCTCTACTCTCGGAGATCCGGGTTCATTATCTGGCTATGTTTGCTCATTACCAGTGGCAATCATCGGTGGCAGGGGTTGAGACCGTGAAAATTTGACTTCATTTTGAGTAACCCACCCCCCCCCCCCCCCCCCCCCTGAGTATCTCAGTTTACCCACCTTTCCCAGGATTTCAAACGTAGCATCACGGAGAGAGATCTGCACAACAACAATAACTCAAAGAGGAAATGGCCACCCTTCCTCAAGCAGGGCTCGCCTGACAAATATAACTCTCAAAAGAAGGCCTCATCCTCAGGCAAGAATTTCAATCTACGCAATTATTGTAGGTGGTCAGTGGCAGGTCATGGATCGGAGAACTGAGACCAGCGCTGAAAATAAAACGAGGTTTGAGCCCAGATTTCAGCCGCCCGCGATTAAGCCGGCTTCTCAACTGGAGCGAGGCGACGATCTGAGAAGTGCTGCTACGTCTGCTTCTGAAGGCCGTTGTCCTGCGCATGGGGGGGGTTGGATTTTGGTGGGTCACGGCTCGGCGAAATTCCCAAGCGGGCGCTTCATCTCACAGCATGATGCTGATGGCATCATTGTAAATAAAATGTGGAGAGGAAAAAAATACTTCTACTACTATGACGACGACGACCACAGTTTTGCGCTCGGCGCTCTTACGGCTTTTAAGCGCCCCCCCACCCCCCGCCACCCCGAGCCACACGTCCACTTCCGACTCTCGGCGGATCCATAGAGTTCCGCGGCGATCTGTTCGGAGATAGAGACACCGCACGCGTCCTTGCGAATCTATTCCCGCCATGCGCGGGGGGTGGGGGGGGGGTGAGTAATTAATGCATTAAGAGCGTCCGTTCCATTTGCAAGAAAACCATAATGGCAGACGCCACCGTGGTGACCCTTGCTTGATGTGCGGGGGTTGTGGCTCAACGCCGCACGTGCCCCCTCCCCCCCCCATGGTATTGGACGTGGGTGGGGGGGGTGTGAGTGGGGGGGGCCCCCAACTAAGAGGCTGTAAGTGAATGATTCTGGAATGGGATTGAATTGCAGTGGAGAAAATCCCTGGATAAACTGCTTTCAGTGATGGGATTTGCAGGAGGTGCTTGGGTGAAATGTGCAGTCTCTCGCATCTCCTCGCTCACGGCGCCACCACACCTCGTGGATTTGCCTCCGGAAAAGATTTTTCTCTTTACCCATTCCCCCCCACCCCTTCCGCCAGAGTTTAGTAAACATTCACGGTTTCGGAACATCAATGTGGCAACAGCGTGTCTATCCAGCAGAGGGGCGTGTCTTGATGTTAGGGATGAGCCGAGGGAATTACAGCGGAACGGTGAGGCATTGAAGGCCCGTGATGACGCACGGAGGGGCTGGCTGGAACCCACACGCGCGTGTGTTGGAAATCTGCGGAATTCACACGTTCGGCTGCGCTACGCAGATTTTTATGTTTTTTTAAACAACCTTGCCCCCCCCCCCCCCCCCCGCTCAACCTCTTCCCTTCTCCTTTGCTCACCACCGACAACAAAATCTATGCACGCCGTGTCAATTTATACATCAGCGTTTACTTGGCACGCAAGTTTGTACTGTAAGTAGGGTGCATCATAACACTAACATGACCCAGTTTGGCATTTTGGCACGACTTAAAATGGAGAACTTGCCGGAAAAGAATTATAGAAAATGTAATTATTTTTAACGCTCAGCCTAGAGGCATTCTCCAGGTTAAGCTTGAAATATGTGCATATTTTTGAGAGACTTATATTATTAAGAAAATAAACTTGTTTATTTTCTTTGGCCACGACTCATTTCTGATCAAGTATGATGCGGAAAGGCACTAGCGCGCATATTTAGCGTCTATTTTGAAATAAGAGTAAGGTTATTTATTTACATTGCTTGGAAATAAACGTTTAGTGCCCGAGGTTTTTGTCTTTTACCCAATGGCTCTCCCCACCTCAACCGCAAATCAGCCGCAGCACGCTCCCCCGAGCGGAGGTTTAATCACGGGCAAAGGTGCGGAACGGAACGGACTGGACCAATAAAATCGCGTACACTGACGTACGGCGGCGGCGGCGGCACACTTATCAGCTCGCGAGGTTTAAGTTCAACCGATTGTTTTCGGTGGGATTTTCGTGCTTGGCGACGCCTAAACACTGTACTTTACCGCGGAGTTGCCACAGCCAGCATTCGTCGCCCGCGGACCGCGACTTCAGAGGCCGTAGAGTCCGTGGGTGCGACACCTGCCCACGGCTGGTCGCGTCGTCCGCCCCATGAGATTTTCGGGGTTTTTTTTTTGAAGCGCACTACTATCAACGGCTACAAAAATAATAAACACACACGGAATTCAAACGCCGCTCCGGCGTGTGAATCTTTTGCTTTCATTTTGCAAAAAAAGAGAAGAAATGTGAAAAAAAAGAGCTCGCCACAAAAAAAAACAAGGCACGGCGTAAAGGTCAAGTTGTGAAGGCATTGGCAGCTTTTGTTCATGTGTGTGGTGGGGGGCGGCGGAGGGGAGGGAGAGTGGGGATTGGGGGGGAGGAGGTGGTGGTGGTGGTGACGGGTTGACCCCCATCCTCCCACTGTCCCCCCCGCCACCCATCTCACCTCCCCCACCACCCTTGCCACGGCCACCCTCCTGTGAAGGACCCAAGCGCTCGCGCTGAAGGTGACCCACACGCCCTCCCACCTGCTCCGCGTACTGCCAGCGACGCGCCTCCCGGGGAGGGGCGGGGGCGGAGTGGGAGGGCGGAGTCCCCTGGTGGCCCGATGGGCGGGGCACATGGGTGGGCGGGGCTGCCAGGGCTGTACCGCGTCACAAAACATCGATCCAAATCAGTTTAACGCGTAGATGTTGTGGCTTCAACACACCGGTGGGC